TCTACGATTCTCGAGCATGCTGATGGCAGGAGGATACTTGTGTGTCAGCTGAGAAGAGGTCCCAGATCCTCCACTGGGAAAAGCATTGAAGTCCACCTAAAAATATAGAGCATCACAAAGGCTCAGTTGTTGTGGGAACACATTTGCTTTGATATTCATTGATTAAGCACAAAATACACTTAGTCATTGCAGTTCAGCATTCATCCAGTCAGACTCATAGGACTTGTAACAACGTAGGAAGACCTAAACAACCATACTTCCAAAGAATAATTTAAAAATAGAATGAAAAATAACATTCTGAAGAAAGCTGACTGTTGCGCTGAATTGTAAACATATGCAGTTCCCAAACCATGAGATGAAATAATTAGAGATGCTCTCCTAAGCTGAATTCTAATTTTGAAGAATTCCAACTCCACTGCAGGATAAAGAAGGGGCACCAGACCTGTAAGCCATTGGTTATAAATTGATAGTAGAACTACTCACTGTCAATGACCCTAGACTTCTATTATCATACCCAATGCGTTGAAGATTAGTACGTGTCTACTGCACAGACTAATCCAGTAACAGAGTGATCCGACAGCAACCCAGACATTGGCAATTTAACAGAACACATGACGCAGAAAAGGGTATCGGAGTTATGAAATGTGAGTAAGACAACAGGGAGCCCTCACTCAGATTTGAGAGCTCCGCAACATTTTCAAGTGCATTTGACATAAACGAATTACAACCGCCAAGAGCAAGTTGATGAAAGAAAACAGAAGACAGTAAACAAGAGAAATCCATAGCTAAACCCTAAAATTTGTAAATCAAGTCCCTAAATCATATGGCAAGAAACAACTTGGCAACCAAATGACAAGTGAAACGAAACCTTACAGTCAAATTCCGCTAATTAGATTCACAACCAGAAGGGGAAAAAGGATTTCCCAACTAATCAATTACTTGGCTGCAAACATGCAAATCGCTCATAGAGCTTGAACCTTCATTCCCCCACAGAAGAAGAAAACTTCCACAACTACATAACAAGGTCCCAAGCTTTCACATTTCAGTCTCTGAACAAATTTCCAGGCATACCCAACTGTTGAAACATCGAAATGTGATGAATTTCACCAAAACCCACATATAAAAGCAGAAGGAATTAATCAAGAACATGGGCCAAAGAAAGGAGAACCAAGCAAAGGAAGAAGCTTAAATAACCTTAGAAGTCGACGAAGAATGCAGGTTTCGAAGAGGGTGCTTAGGGTAAGACGCTAGCGATGCAGAGACTCGAAGATCCCCTGATATCGCCATTCTTGAAGGGCAAAGCTTCGTCGCACGTCTTCTCCTACAGCTGTTCGCTTTTTAGTTTTTACTTGACAGTCTTGCTGATGACTTCGCTACCTCCGCCGCTTTTCTGAACGGCCCAGAAATGATATTTTCAGGCTCTCGCTCAGTCACCCACAGCATCCAAACGACAGCGTTTCATGGCCTTTGTTTGTAGGGCGCAAATGAGCCGTGCTGAGCTTGACTCGTTAACAAATGAGCTGAGCTCGAGCTCGAGCCATTTATTAACGAGTCGAGCCGAGTTCAACTTAGAGTTGTTTACTAAATTCTTAGATCGTATTTGATATATTCATTTTGTATGTCATGTATGATACATGTGATTGATGTAATGATTAAAAAAAATAATCAAATGTTCAACATTAATTAATCTTATATTACAATTTGTAGGTGTCATATTGTTTAGTTAATAAATTTTAACTAGTTCAAATCATGTTATTGCATAGTACGAAACAATTTGTACATAATTTCTTTATAGAATTAAAAATAAGGCATATTTTCTTACATGTTCAACAAGTTAAACTTCACATGATGTGAGATATATAATTTAACAATCCTATAAATTATGAAAGTCCAAATTAGATTGTTTGTCCATAAGTCGGTGATCAAGTTGGCTCTCAAACTACAATGTTGAGACATCTCATGAGCTATAAATGAGCCAACTCATGAGTTGAGCTCAACAAGCCACCGAGTCGAGCTAGCGCGTGAGCTTCGCAAGCTGAACAAGGCTAAACTTAAACTTAACTTGTTAGTAAACGAGTTGAGTTTCAAACGAGTTTTTTCCGATTCGAGTCTCAAATTGCTCACGAGTAGGAGTAGCTTGGCTCATTTGCAGCACTATTTGTTTGTACTTCGCATCTGTCGACCAGATTGTACGACTGGAATAGTGTGGGATTTATACGATATATGTCTCAAGATATTGGGTATATATATACTACTAGCAACTTGCCCGGGCGATTGCCCGGAGTGTGTTTCTTCAAATTTATAGTTTATCAAATAAATCGGTAATCATCTCATAGCTCGTTCTATTATAATATTTGTATACTTCTTTCAAGAAAGATTTTATTCAAAGAGAAAATAGACATGGGAGTAGGGATGACAAAAATTATCAACACTGTCCGAATCTGACCTAATTAGGTAGTGTAAAACCAGAATCCAAAGTTTTTGTGGGTATGAGCAAAAATCAAATCCGAACATTGTTGGTAATAGATGGATATGATTTTATCACTATCTAACTCCAACCCACCCGATTAAACATATGCGTGTATTTTATCTACAAATGGTCATTATATTTTTCCATCATATATTATACTTAGTGGGTCAGACTGGCGTACGTCAGGCGTATACTATATGTCAGCTACTACTAGTGAGATATCTCTGTCTAGACCATGAATTAAATCGAGTTTGGGGTATAATACTATATCCTAACCTCTAATGGATAAATCAGAGTCACCGATTTTCTAAACCCCAACCCGAAGTTAGATTTAATGAAAAACAAAAATTGACCGTTGAGATCGACCGGAGCTCATCTAATTGCATCTAATGGCTAGATCACCCGACGTATAGTATACGTCTGACTTACACCAGTCATTACCATTATATGTTATAATAACTATATAATATTCTCATGCAACTGTGTTCTCTTTAAATATTTTTCTTGAAATTAGTGATGTATTTTTATAATTTTTTAATGTGAGTATTAATTGCTAACGTAATATATTTGTTTAAGTTACGAAGAAAAATTATTATCTATGATAACCGTGGATATAGAAAGTCGATCGAGTGTGTTTTTGCCCTTCACGGTAGGAATGGTTTGGTCCATTTAACCGTGCTTCTTTTGCTTTCGGTGCTTTCTTGCGTTTTGTTTCTTCTATTTCTTTTGCTTTGTCTCTTACGGGCGGCTCAATCCTGTTGAGCTTTCAGTCTTTTCCTTTTTCGTTTTTGTTTGCTTTGCTTTTTTTGTTACCCTGTTTTTCAATTTTCTTTCGTAATAAAATCTTTCTTCATTATCAAAAAGAAACTCGATCGAGTGTGACCATGGTTTTGATTTTCTACACGATTCTTGTGTGGATATAGCTACGGGTAAAAGTCAAATTACTTTGGGTAAGGTAATGGATATGAACCATTTATCCTGACTTGATCCGTTTTCATCCCCAGGTATGAAGAAAAATTATTACCCATAGATAAATATGAATACTCGAAATCTGATCGGGTATAGGCATGATTTTGATTTTATACTCAGTTTTTAATTATTGTGTAGTTATGGATATGAGTAAACCCCGAACAATTTTTAATTATTGGACCATTTGCTCTAGACCCGATCCATTGCTATCATGAAAGAAAGAGTATATAGTGATTGTTGAGTATCAAACAACAATAAAACCCATTGGTCAAATATCAAATGGTCATTATATTTTTCCATCATATATTATATTTATAATAAATATATAATATTAGCATGTAATTGTATTTTATCTACAAATAGTCATTATATTTTTCCATCATATATGATATTTATAATAAATATATAATATTCTCATGCAATTGTATCTTATCTACAAATGGTCATTATATTTTTCCATCATATATTATATTTATAATAAATATATAATATTCTCATGCAATTGTGTTCTCTTTACCATAAGATAAATCGGTAATATCTCATTGCCCGCTTTATTATAATATCAAATGGAGTTTGTTACCGTGCAGATAGGTGAATGTAAATAAAATTGTCGATCATCTAATAGGTTAAATCACGGATTTAGTACAAAATATACTAACACTCACTTTTCAGGTTCTGGTACGTTTCCTTTGTTTGTTATTAGGGTTCCCACGAAGAAGGAAGTATTTATAATTCTACACGATTCTTGTGTGGAAATAGCTACGAGTAAAAGTCAAATTACTTTGGGTAAGGTAATGGATATGAACCATCAATCCTGACTTGATCCGTTTTCATCCCCAGGTATGAAGAAAAATTATTACCCATGGATAAGTATGAATACTCGAAATATGATCGGGTATAGGCATTATTTTGATTTTATACTCAATTTTTAATTATTGTATAGCTATGGATATGAGTAAACCCCGAACAATTTTTAATTATTGGACCATTTGCTCTAGACCTATCCATTGCCATCATGAAAGAAAGAGTATATAGTAATTGTTGAAGATCAAACAACAATAAAACCCATTGGTCAAATATCTCATTTGGCCTTGGATAATTCGATAATTAATCTTATGAGAATTTGGGATTTTTTGTTGTTTCTTCTTGGTTCTTCATATGTTATTGTCATAACTCATACGTGTTCTTGAGCTGTGTCTGTGCCAATTTGGATATCATTTGAATCCTTTCAAGTTTTTCCCCCCGGCTGGCTCCACTATTATGAGTTGGGTCATTATTTGTTTGCTTCTATGTTGATAGATAGTATATAAACTGTTCCGGAGTTGGAAAATGTATCAGGAAACCAATCTTTATTAGTCGTTTCTATTTATCTTCTAGTGGGCCTAATTAACCGGCCCAAAAACTGGCTGAGTCCAGAGTGAGGCTCGGGTCATAATTGAGTATTTTGTCAAAATCACCCCTCCGCAAAATAAGGGATGCTCTTCGGTGGCTGAGCTGGCAAAGCTCCAATTTGCACTCCTATATATATATGTTTGGATTTGGATTTGGATTTGGATTTGGATTAAAATGGACGAAATCGGAAAAGTAGAGGCGAGTAGATATCGTTGGTCGAGTAAAGCTTGGGGAAAAAAAGTAGAAGAGAAGGGCCGTGGGCAAAGGTGAAAGGACCAGGAGGAATCGGCCTCCAATCAAACTGGAATCACTAGTTTCAATATGCAGCTGCCAGCCATCTCAGGTATTCGAAGAAGCCTCAATACTTGGAATTGGAAACTTCAAATTTCAAGACCCCAGTGATTGTTCTTCGTCTAGAGTGAATGGGTAGATGGCGAGCTGCTGGTTCGCTACTCCTCAATCACACATCCAGAAGACGACTCCAAAAGACCCTTTTTATTAACAGTCCATGTCTTTCGCTGGAAATCGATCGTTCTGCTTCTTATTCTTCTTGCTGCCGGCCATGTCGGAGCCCTCCGCAGGGGGGTTATTCATTCTTGTTCAGGTCGTTTTCCGCGTACCCATCTCGGGTTCCAGCTTATTCCAGCGACAATGAATCTGGGTCTCATGAGAATTTCCCCATGGAGCTTAAGGAAGACGAGAGCGACTTTGGGAAGATTCCGGTCAAAGCCTACTTCCTCTGCACCAGGTCTTTTTGCCTCTAACACCTGAATTTCTTCAATTATCTTTGTTGCTAAATCGTGTGTGTTAATGCGAAAGACTCTGAATTATAGGTCGCGTTGCGTAGACCTTGAATTTTGGTTGGTGTTCAAGTTACATGTTTGAATTGCTGAGCCGTCGCCATTTTTGTTTGGAATTGTAGTGCTTTTAATAAAACTCAACTCAACTCAACTCAACTACATTAGATTTGCCCTTCATTGCGTAATGCATCCAAAATGGAAAATTTATCTAAACAATGTTGGTTGGTAAGGGCAGGTATTGAATATGAACACTGTTATTGTTCCAAGATGATGTTCCACTGGCCTTTATGATTTTAGTTAGATAAGTCTTTAGCAACATTAACTCTCTGTGGCGACCTTCAATGTCACTTGGTTTTTGAATGCTATTATGCTAATAATCTGCTCAAATAGCTTCCTTTTTAAGTTAACTTAGATGAGTGCAATCATTAGGTTTGTTCTGCTTCAAGTTTTACTTGCGTTTCCTGTGTCCCTCTTGCTAAGTCATTGGGATTATTTTTTGGAATTGTTCGCTTCCGAAGAACTGGCTCAGAGATGCAGTTGCTTGCTACGTGTGTTCTTCTTCTCCCTATACTTTCTGGTTCCGCTTTGCTTACCTTTACTGCTTTCGTTCTTTTCCCTCGTGATGGTTCTCAGATTCATCGTTTTGGCAGTATTGATTTGAAGAACATGCAAGGGGAGCATTTAATCAATGTTGTTCCTCCTACCTCACGTTCAACAAATTATATTGTCCTCAGATACTATGATTACCAACCGGAAATTACTGTAAGTGAAGGAATGAACATGATCCTTCAAATACTCTGATTACTTTCTGCTTCCTGTGCCACTGCCATTACATTCATTCCATGCATTAAAATAATCTGTAATGTTATGGAAATCTGGCCATGATTCAGGCACTTGGAATCAAAGAGAATGTGAGCTGTCGCTACATGGTTGTTTTCCAATATGGTTCTGCTGTTCTTATCAACATTGAAGACCATGAAGTTGAAAGTTACTTAGATTTAGTGCGGTGACATGCTTCAGGGTTGCTTTCCGAGATGAGGAAAGATGGTAAAATCTCTCTACTAAGGTTTCGTGTTGTGATCTGAATAAGAAGATTCGTAGTTTGTGCATATCATATGAAAGCAAGAAAATGCCCGGCTTATTATCTACCTTAGCTTTGATTTTCCCTTTGTCTCTCAGATTATGCCATAAAAGAGAAACCACGCCTAGAAGATGACATGCAAGGAGGTCCAGACTACATAGTCCTAAAAACTTTAGATACTGACAGCATCCGTATTATTGGAAGTGTACTTGGCCAAAGTATTGCTCTGGATTACTTTGTTTCACAGGTAAGATGACTTTGAAGCTTCATTTAGCTTGTTGGTGACTACAAAGAAGGTAATGTAAAGATTCTACTTGTATTCTGCAATCTTCATTTGTGTAAGGGCATACTTTGTCTCTCTCTCAGGTTGATGGAATGGTAGAAGAGTTCGCTGGCATAAACCGTGGAATGGAGAAAACTGGAACATTTACAATGGACAGGACAACACTCATCAAACTGGTGGGGAAAGCGAATTCTAATCTAGCTGACGTAATTCTTAAAGTTGGTCTTTTTGAAAGGTAATCAAACGAGAAGAACCATACCAGTTGTTTCTGATGCGCCTTATAATTTGAATGGAAACACATGCCTTATCTAGGTATTGATCCAATCACTTGTGCTTTTCAAGGTCTGAAATTGCTTGGAAGGATGCAAAATATTCTCAAATATATGAGTACCTTAGGGATGAATACGAGGTCGCTCAACGATTCGGAAGCTTGGATTTCAAATTGAAATTTGTGGAGGTTTGCTTTCTCCCAACTTTCTGAAGCCAAACCTTGCTTATTAGGTTTCTTCTGGTACTCAAAAAGACCAACCCTTTATGCTCTGGCCTTTCTCCTTTGTGCAGCACAACATTCATTTCCTTCAAGAGGTTATACAAAATAGGCGATCTGATCTTCTGGAATGGTGCATCATCTTCCTCTTAACTTTGGAGAATGCAATATCAATATATGAGATAGTGAGCGGTTCTTAGGTTTTATTTTCTATATACCTTTTCTTTTTTTTTTTGGTAGAAAAATGGGACGCTAAAAGGGCGCCCCTGCCTGCTACTTAGATTAAGCGAGATTGAGCAATGCTCAAAGTATCATACAAAATCCAAAACGATAAACCTGGATCATCGATCCTGAAATCATGGTAACCTATGCTAACACCGTGGCCCTTGTTGGCCAAGAAGTCCGCGGCCTTGTTGCATTCTCTGTAGGTATGGGAGATTTTAACTTCCCAGTCTTGCTGAACTAGTCCCTTGAATTGTTGGACCAGTTGAAGTACCTGTGCTCGGTCTGATTTTGGGAGGAGAGGATATTGACAGCAGTGGTAGAATCCAATTGAATGTGAACTTTGCGATAGCCTTTCCTCCAAGCCACCTGCAGGCCACGAATTGCCGCCTTGATCTCGGCCCTGGTGATCGTGCAAATTCCCAGATTCTCCACGAAAGCGTCCACGCAGCGTCCTGTCCAATCACGGATCAAGCCTCCTGCTGCCGCAAGCGATCCCGGTTGTTTGACCGATCCGTTGGTATTGATGCTCATCCACTCTGTCGGGGGAGGTTTCCACGCAAGCTGCTGCGATATCTTCACCGGAGTCTGGTCGTGGGAGGCCCTGTCGCTCAGTTGCGCATTGCGGATAGTATTGGTCCAACACCTGATCCGATGCGCCAGGATGTGATCTTCTTGAGTCAAATTGTGGAAAGTCTTCTCGTTCCGTCTCTTCCAGAGATACCAGCACGCCACTCCAAAGAGAAGTCCTTCCTGATCGCTCCCGAGGTGTGACTCTAGCCAAGCTGTAAAACCAAGGCCGCAAGTGAGAAGAGTATCATTTATCCCCAACAATAGCCATACCTGTTTGGAGCTGGGACAGTCACGCAGGTGGTACAGGCTTCATTGTTCGTCAACTTCCTCCTCTTCCGTTCCGCATTTGTCATCAACCTGTCATGGAAAACAAGCCAGAGAAAATGCTTAATCCGGTTTGGTCCGGACCATTTCCACAACTGCTTCCAGTGGGGTTGAGGGGTTTCCCCATCCGTTCGGATATTTGTGTATCCGATCCAATCAACTGCAGCATAGTATGTCGACCGCAGTTTAAATTTCCCGTCAGGTTCCATTCCCCATGCCGTGATATCTTCTCCCGAGCCTGCCGTCGGTGGGTCAGTACCTGCAACCAGGAAAATAAGCTGTTGAGTCAGGTATGGTTCGATTTCCCTCCAATTCCACTCACCTTCATCAGTGGTCATATCCGCCACGGTGGCGTGCCAGTTAATGCCTTGCCCTCCATTTTTGACGTGATCCCGCAGGATAAGGCCCTCGGCCAGCCAAGCATCGGTCCAAAATTGGACATTGTGGCCCTCTCGGATGTCCCAGACAATCCGTTCCTTGATGATCGGCCAGCACTCCACAATCCATTTTCAAAGTCTAGAGTAATTACTCTTTCTCATGACAAGTTCACCTGCAGCATTAGATTTAAAATATTTCCCTTGCATCACACGAATCCACAGGTCGTCGGACTTATTCAGGAAGGCCCACCCAAGTTTCATTAGATAAGCGAGGTTACCTTTTCTTTTGATAGAGCAGAATATAGTGGGAATTTATTTCATATTAATGACCATTATTGTAGAGGAAAAATTATTGTTTCAGTAGCACAGGAAATCGAAAATTTCCTAAGCAACTCCCCCATTTTGTAATGCCATTGCCGCATCAACAGTAACATTTATAGTTGAAAAGTAAAACTGCTACCACCATTTAAAATTCCTTGCCCGTAGAGTGATTTCAGGAGTCTGACCTGGCAGTCCATTTAGGCGGGATATCTTTCCTTTTTCGCAACCTGCAACCGTCCTCCTTCCTATTCCTGTTCTCATCTCCCATCTGAAAGAATCCCGAATCTGCCCCGCTCTCTCGCATCTTCCTCCAACACAGGTGAACACACTACAGAAAATTCCCAATTCGAAACAATTGACAAGCGGCATCCCTAATTACAAGAAAATCAACGAAGCTATTGGCTAACTGAGTACTTGAGAGTTCGGAGATTGCGCTTGGGAGTGCGGCGAGGGGTCTGGGCGGCGAAGCGGTGGTGGACGAGCGGGGCTTCGATCAACACCAAGGGGCTTCCCCATTTCCGTCAATCCGGTCGAAGAAGACTATGAACGCATCTCGCAAATCGGGAACTTCGATCGGAGAGAGGGTAGGAGCAAGCAGGGGAGCCGTTGTTGTCCCCGTCGCAGCCGGGGTAATCAATTGTCTCGCAACCAGGTTTGCACAGCAAGGAATCCTCGCAATCGTATAGCCAGGTGTCGTTCTCTTCCGATTTTCCGAAGTAGCGGTTCCCGATGAAGGAGAAGGCGTTCGATTCCTCTACTATGTCCAGGAATCTCTTCCAATTGGTGTCGTCATCTGCGCGAATCGACTTTACTTCAACTCCCTATTCAAAATATTTGCAGCCAAGCGATGTTTCTTCTTACCCGCTGACCGACGCAGGCACGTTCCAGCTAGCACCATCGGTTTTTGATTCTCGGCTTCCCTTGGATAAAAGGCCCTCTTCTGTTCCAACTCCTTTTATCAAGGTAAATTGAAATACAAATCGATTATGGGCAGAATGCAGAAAGTGTGGCCCCTTTGTGCAATTTGGAGTTCATGAAGCTATTAGTGTTTACGCAAAGCATTGACTTATGAATCTAGGGTTATTCCATAGTGGCATGCTGAATTTTTTTTTAAAACTTAGTTCTTTATCCAGACACAACCATGCTGAAATGGCATCCATGTAAAGAACTTTTGCTACTAATATCCTTAGCTATTCATCGCTACATAGATGGAATGTAAAGTCCATATGGTGGTTGTGATGTTGTCATCTCCATTTCACGTTTGAGTCCAAGATTATCAACTATCAAGATTATGAAAATCTGGACTGTTTTTTCTTATTTAAAGTTGCATACCAGTGAATGATCTCCTAGACCCTTGCAATGTTGTGTAACTTGAAGTAGATTGATCCTAACTGTTGCTTTTTTTGTGTATGGGAACAGGAGACAAGTTCTTCCGCCTATTCCTAATCTTCTTCCTTCTGTACAGGTAATATGCTTCTTCATCTATAAGTTTGGTGGTTCAAACAAAGTTCTTTTAGTAACTGCTCGATAAGTAGCTTTTGGCGGCAATGATAATATTTGATGAAATAGGAAACTAGAGAATCTTCCATTGTCTAATGAAGTTGAACAAAAGTGCAGGTTGAGTGAACTTTTTCTGATAAGAAACGGCCAATGTGAAAGATTTCGAGTCAATTGGCATTTCTGCGACAGAGTTGGTGATAGTGAAGAATTTGTTTTTTTCATTTAAGGCAAGCTCAATGCACGTTCTTGCAACTATGGATCTGAAATGATTAGTATAAGCTGAATCATAGATGGATTTGAAATGATTAGTATAAGTTGAATCATAGATGAGGGATCACTACATAAGCTTTTAGCATTGTCACTTAAGTGGTTACTCACTTAGTCAAGTCGTAATGAAAATGAAATTCGACAGCATGATACTTGGGTGAGAAGACCATCCAAAATGTGACCTAGGCTCGGGAAGTTTGAGGGAATGACTATTAAAACTGATTGTTAGATAAGTGGGAAGAGTTTATTGTGGTATGGTTTCGAGATGTAGTACAGGGAGAAGCGGAATAATGCCAATTACTTGAGAAGTTTATCGAAATACATTTCATAGTAATGTGGTGGTGATGTCAAGAGCGGGTTAAGATGTATCATTCGGGTAAACAACAAATTCGAAATTTAGTTTTCCTATTTCCATTATTCTTAGTTTATTATTTTTTTCAATTTTTGGACCCATCGGTGGTGTGGTTGACTGACAACAAATTGTAGTCGTCAGGCGCTGCCTGGCCAACTGAAATGATTTCGTATATGAAAATTTTCTATGTTGGACATGGTTTAATTGTTAGTCAGTTGTTGCTTTGAAAACATTGAGTTGTCTTTGGTGTTGTTGCAGGACTGGGAATACATTAGGATGAGATAGCAGACTGCTGTAGGTGGAAAAGTATAGAGTCCACACTGGTGCTTGACTGTTGTGGTAGTGCTGGAAGTTGAACATGGTTATTGTTGCCTACCACGTATGGAGGTAAACTTCGTCACGTTTTTTACTGCTCAGAGAAGAAGGGTCACATAGTCTTTATATGTATTTCGGATTGCTATCTACTGAGTTTTTGCCTGTTAAGAAAATGATTCTCGATTGATGAATAGCTTAGTGGATCTCCTCCTTTCGGGTAGTCGGGAGGGGTTTTGACATCGAGTTTTTGATTGGGGTATCCATCCATACCATGTTTGGCTATTGTGTGTTTATTATGCAGTCCAAAGAAATACTACTGGATGAAAGAGGTTGTATTGGCTGCACTCCAAATTGATATGGTTAAATGAAACTCGGAAGTAGCTGAGGGAAGAGCTATTCTCTGTGGTCTGAATAAAGCAATGAAAAGGAGATATTGTATCCTTTGAGGCATGTGCCGACTGATTTCCTTTCAATGAAGGCTTTTGTTGTTTCCTCCATAGAAGAAAGAAGTGGTCATACAGGACAATCAATCAAAACCTTTGGTTTGGGGTTTACCGATTAATGCTTTTCTAATATATCATTATGTGAAGGAATTTGATACTCTTGCCTCTATTTGCTGCAAAGTAATCTTGATTTCTGACTGACTATTATTTTTGCATATGGTTTTATAGTACGAGAAACTTCATTTGGATTGCTTTGTATATATAATGGTTGTATCTTTGTTGATTCCATGAATTTTAGGTCTCCTTATTGTTATTATTGACATTTTAATGTTGAATTTTAGGTATAGTAGTATTGGATTATCAGACAGATGGTACTTACGAGTAGCTGAAAATCGCAGGCATAGGAGTAGAGTTGCAAAACCTTCCTCGGCATGGATATATGGTGGGTATATAGTTAGAATATTTGAAGATGATGTGATAATTTTCTCCAAGCCCGCTTATTACCATCTCTAATTCAGTTGAAGGTTTAATGGTTATAACAAAACATGGGACTGAAATATGTAAATGGTTTCACTAATAAAATGGGTGTTTGTTTAAATGTATTGTTCTCCGACGTCTTTGGGAGTTCGTTTGGGTTAAAATATTTCTTTGACTGTATTTATGATTGTGATGAATTGAGTCTGTGAAGTAGTGGTTTATATCTTGGTTCGGGAAGTTGAATGAACTATCATGTGTTTGATGAACTTTATTTTGAGTTTCATCCTTTAAATATATGATGGTTTGTATCTCCTATGGAATATGATGTTGAATCAATATTGAGGTTGTGCATGCTATTCTTAATGTTTCGCAACAAGTAATCGTATGTTTGGATATTTTACATATTTGTCATCATAATAGTCTTGAACTATCCTCATAAGTTAATGTCAACTTCTAGGACTACAATTTTTTTTTGGATAAAGATATTAGTTACCAATCAATTGTCATCTAATAATTTATACTTTCCTAATGATACAATTTTAGATGATTGTTGATTACAAAGTTTGAACCCAGTATGTGATTAATTTTAATCCTTCCAGATTACCACTTTAGTGAATAATTATTTGAGTTTTGTTAGAAAATCATATAACTGCAAGTAAATAATTATGAATATTATGAAGAAATATTTTTTCAATAATTTACGCTGACAATAAGAAGTGCACAAATTTCTTCTAAAATATGAAAATATATACAACATATGAAATACTCGCATAAAAGTGTTTCGACACCAAACTCCCATCGCCAATAGTATTTCCGTTAACAATTTATAAATTACTAATATGTTGCTATGCAAGATTTTCACTTCCATCATACAACGGAAAGCAGTTAAGGCATGAGCAAGGTGAGATTTCATTTAGATGAGTGACCTATTACCTTTTTAAATACCGTAGTTGGGGTACCTAATCAACAAAAATATCTATGAACTAATTACCACTGATGATACAAATAACACAAATAACTTCCAAATTATGTATAAACTACTTCGACGATTCTAAATCATTTGAAAGCATCGATCATTTAACATTAATAATAAAAACAAAATTCATCTGACCAACGGGTCGGGTAAAAGCTAGTACTATCTAATGAAAGAAGAAATTCTCAGAGTTCGCAATTTCTGTTCATTTGAGGCAAAATGTTTTTATACGGTCCAAGCTTGCACAATTTGGACAAGAATGATGACTGTGACCCTATTACCCTACAATTTAAATGAGGCTCTGGAAGAAAGGTAAATATTATATGTTCTGTGTGTTCACTCTATTGTTCCCATGACGTTGGGTTAGGTTTTACGGCAAAATTGATATTATTATTGAGAACCTATCATTTTTTTCATACACATGAGTTAATTCTGTGATGTTGACCAAAACTGTAAGTCAAAATGCGTGAATATTATATCATTAAGCTAGTTGAGTTGAAATTTTTTTCTCCTAATAATTGAGTTGAGATTGTTACATCTCAGTTTTTAGCCGATGTCACACAATCATACATACAAAACACTATGAGGTTTAGGGATGACAATCAAACCCATGGCTGCGAGTACCTGATCGTCCCCGACCAAGTCAATGCGGGGGAATCCCCGCATTGACCGGGTATGGGTAAACCCGCAAAAAGTTTGATGGGTATGGGGAGGGTATGGTTTTAGCCTCCCCCGCCCCATACCCGCCCCACCAAGAGAATTTCTTCACATATAAAAAAAAAATATTTGGATCAAATTGTAATCTATCAATGATGACGAGGATAACTCGAGAAAATAAATGGTAGAAATGCAATTGAGTGACCACCCTAATCAAAACATCATTCATTTCCCTCAATTCTCCTTTCACTTTTACCCTTGTCAACAAGATTATGTTAGTTAAATCAAACAAAGAAGAAGGTTATATAATGAAGTCGGAAATCAAGTCAAGAAAGACAATCCAATGATCTGGTAAGGCATATTGTGAAAGCTTATGACACTTGAAATACAATATTCTAGACCCCGTATTATGATCGAAAGTGCATTAATTTCCCATTTTTAGTGTCATAATACCTTGGATTTGTGATGTGAATGCTTAAAGTGAGTTTGGGAATGCTTTTGCTATCAAGTTACCCTTTTTGTAGCGTGTTGTACATTTTAAGGTCAAAGCAGGCCAATGGACATCTTAGGAGCCACAAGGGACATCAAGGCCAAGCTGTTGGAGCAAGAATCGAAGAAGAAAACTTGGCCCAGAAACGGCGCACTAATCGGCGGCCCAAAGTGAGAATTGACGTCGTGGCCAATGATTTCGGCAAGTGCTTACTTCGTCAAGAAGGCATCCAAAAAGTTATATTGAAGTAGTAGCTGCATAGAATGACTCTTGTGATTGGCTGCATAACGCGTCAAGGCCGATTTTCTCTCCCAAAAATTCCTAATCCAAAACCTATATAAAGCTCTCTAGGGTTTAGAACTCGGTAGCCAGTGATAGAGAGTAGTTAGAGGGTCGTTACCCTGCCGACAGAGTAACTCTCCCGAATTAAAGCGACACTAGTTACCAGGAGGTCGGTGGAAGAATCGGCACCCTAAGCCCTGATTTCTCTGTTGTGGCTGCCGATTCTAGTGGTCTTTTGGGAGATTTGTTTCAATTGATGACTCTCCAGAAACTCGACTGTCCCCATGGCCGACTAGTTCCCTCAGTTGCACAGGTGTGCGAACCCTAGAGGTTCTGGATATGTAAAACTCAATGTTTTGGATTCACTATTTCTAGTCAATAAGAGACAGAAACATTAGAGTCAGAAAAGGGCGGCGCGGTCAGACCCAAGAAAAATGGGGGAGGTGATCAGGACCTTAGTTGATTAATTTCGGCCAAGAATAGCCGACATCCAGCCTAGTATCACCCAACCTGCGATTGCTTACGACCAACTCATTGTGCATAATGCCATAGTTCAACTCGTGCAAGATCATTGCACCTTTAAGGGCCTAGAAGGGGAAGACCCCATCACACACCTTCTAGGTTTACATAGCTAGTTGAATCACTCACTCCTGCCGGAATAGGTATCAATGTGATGGGATGAGATTATTCTTCTTCTCCCTCGATGGGAGAGCAAAAGAATGGTTGAGAGCTTTTCTAAGAGACACATTTGCTTCTTGGGCAAAGCTTTCTCAAGATTTCATTGAGGAATACTTTCCCGAGTGGAATTCCAATAAGATCCCACAAAATATCACCAACTTCCATCATGAGGAAGAGGAGGATCTCTACGAGTCATGGGTTCGCTATTCTGCACTGCTCATAATTTTGTCCTCACCACGACTATCTTTCTTAATAGCAAGCCCATTGCTTCTAGAGGGGACTAAACTAGAGAACTTGAATTGGAAACAAAGGAGGGAGTCTCGACATGCATCTGTAAGGCAACATTAGAAATGTATACGCAAGATGAAGAAAGTCTGAAAAAGGTGGAAGAAATGGTTTCTCCCACGTCTGAAAGAGGCAACACCATCTGCAGTGGTTGCCTCAGTGGTGAGGGCGGCACGAAAGAGATAAGAATATCTATGAGCTTTATCCTCCAAGCAGTGACCAAGAAGGGAGATGAACCTAAGCCGACTCAACGGGAGCCAACGTGGTCACCCGAAGAGGCCCCTCTAACCCCCTGTTTAGGAAGGAGAGAAAGGGAAGGAAAGGGGAGGGAGGTGAGGGAAACACACATTCCAATGAACTTTCCATTGTTTTTTTAGCTAGCTACAATTGGGAAGGAAAGAAAGTGGGAAGAAAAATTCATTGTTTCATCCGCCCCTCCAATTTGGAAGGAAAAGATAATTGGGGAGTGCCTAATTTCTAATAACCCACCATTTTTTCCCATGGCCCACCAAACCATCTCTGCGTGTCCTATCCCAACTCCATTTTCTCTTTCTTTATTTTATTTCCTTCTTAATTTCTTTCTCTTTTAATTAGTCTCATTTTTACTTGATCAATTAATGATAGTAAGTAATACGAATATGAGTAAGCGATGTTGTCATAAATATTGGTCTTTATACTTTTCATATTATTTTTTCTTTTAACCATAATTTCGCATTGTGTGGGATATCATATCGACGGCTTGACATGAAAAACTCTTATCGAAGTCTAAACTGATAGTAACAATTGTTCTACCATATTGCATCGGACCAAGCTGACGTTTGGATCGGTTGACACTAAATCGAGTATAATGCGGCACTATTGGTCAGATGAATTTTCTTATTGCTGAAGAAAAATAGATCGGATTGATATTTGGACTGTACCAAATGGATGATTTACGTCACGTATTACGTTGTTTTGTGCGATACATAAAACTGTTACGTGAGATTCAAAAGTGTGTTACGTTTCTAGTAAAAACGACATCAAAGTGATTATTAAAAGTGTTTTAACGTATAACGTTGTTTAACACGATACATAAAAGTTTCAAATCATCTACTTTTGATTTTTAATAGTGGACAAAATTAATAAGAAAGTACAAATTTAATTCACAATTCATGATCAACGAAAATAATATCAACATATAATCAATTATTTTACTATTATAAGTCGAATAAAATAATATATTCTTCACAATTCCCTCCCATTTTCCTCCATAAAACACAATTTTCCTTTCAATTTCCTTAACCTCTTAATTTCCCTCCCCTCCTAGTTTCCTTCACCTCCCCTCCATTTTCATTCCTTAACTAATCATTCACTTCCCAGAGCTACCCACATCTAGAGACGAGATATTTCATCATCTCCTCCCATAACTAATCATTCACCTCACAAGGAGGCACGAGTTGTGGAGGAAGTGTAGGGCAAGCCAATTCCCGATGTTACATCAACTAGGGCACCTTACTCTCCATGATTAAGAGGAACAAAATCGAGCAAGACGCCAACTTCCACAAATTCCTAGGAATGCTTGAGAAGATCAACATTGATATGCCCTTCCTCAAGGCTATAGCAAAGATGCATAATAGGCTAAGTTCATGAAGGAGATTTTATCCAAGAAGAAGAGGCTAAACAAAATCTCTTCAATACAACTAGGAGAGGAGTGTTCGGCTGTCCTTA